TACACTCGGGTCTTGTATATGTGTCTTAGCGACACAGCACACGAACATGGATAGAGATTCCAGAGTTCTGGCGAGCGATGCTTGTTGTCCGGTTTGGCATAGAGGTTGGACATTGAAGCTTCTACATGAAAGCAATGGCGCAGTCTCAGGAGACTAGGGATGAGCTATCAATGGCTTTTATCGTTGGCAGTAGTTGCAGAGTGAGAGGTTGGGTGAAGCTTAAGAGGCCTAATATTAGTATCAGGAGAGGAAGGCAAAGGAGAAGACAGAGTTGAGAAGGATAGATTATATTTGTTAAATGTTATGCACTACTGGAATCGTGCAGGCGGTTGAAACTGACCGGCTGCCCACAACGTGGAAGGCAATTTCTTCTTAATGTGCCGGAAGGAGAAAAGGAGCCCAAAGAACATTTACTGAAGAACTTTGGGTTGCTGTCTCGAGATTTGGTTGTTCTTACGTCGGATAGACAAAAATTCCATATCACTGGCACCGAGAGACCGTGAGGCATGTTGGGGTGTGTTATTTTCGGGTTCAAGCTTTATTAAATCCCTTTCCGTTGAGACGGCAGCATCAGCATGTCAGTGCTGGTCATCCAAGGGGAAAATTTACTACTCTCACACCCCACCTATCTAGCAGGAGTACCACTTCGCCCTCAGGACCTTATCATATTGTAGTAATCTACGCCACAACGGTAGCTGCTTTTCGTCTTACCACCATCCAACAGACATTAATGGTATGGTAGGACCTCTAGGGAACAAGGGTCCCAGCGGCATAGCTCGTTGAGTCATTGTGATATCCCAACCCGAAGCACCACGCCAATGTAGCAGCTGTGGGTCGAGAACTCAGGTTGACCTAGTTGGGCAGCAATGCTTTTGACAATTGAAAAATTGCAGGAGATAAAATACAGTAATGTAATTCTGAAAATAGTATTCTCACAATGTTGTTTCAGATCAGTAAGCTAAATGCTTATTTTAAATACACTTAAAACAGTTGCGGAATTTTTTTCTATCCACCATAATGACTGTTGGATGTATAGAAGTACTTCATTTGAAGAGTGTTTTGGTTAACTACGGATAAAGTTGACTGGGAAGATGACCAAGATGCCAATGAAAACAGAGGAAACATAAAAATGACATCGGAGTAGTGCAATTTCTGACATTTTATACACATATTTGTGAAACCCAATAAGAACTTTCAACTATTATTATTGTTAACATTAATATTACTATTATTTTGAAATATGTGCAATCGAGGGTTTCGATGAAAACTTTTCACATTTTCATCACTAAACAAACACGTTTACAAATAGTTAGATATGACATTTTAATCAATAAAATGAAAAGAAAAGCACTTTCTTCCACTAGTTAGTTTAAGGAACTAGAAATAAACATTTTTTCTCACAGAAAAGTTGTTGGAAAAAAGCTTAAGGAAGATATTCGCTTAGATTTCAGTGTATTATGGAGATTAACTGAATTCAAGTTAGTCCTCATCACGGATTTACAATAGGTAAGGAATCATTGAAAACTCAGGAGTAGTGGAAGATTATTTTTCATCCTAGCACTGGACTCTTCAGTGACACACACCTATGACTTCACTTCCAAGGACAGAACTCAGGATATTCAGGTTTCCCGGCTAGTGTGTTATCATTCAGTCACTTTTGTGAGGCCAAAAGGTTCACTTTTTGCAGCTGCAGCCAATTCATGAAATGACATAACCCTCATTCAGTGCGACTGGTGATTATTTCGCCATGTATCTGACTGACTAGACAGGTTATGAGTCTTTGTTGGAATTTCACGAAATTCATTCCAAAAGCTATTACCATTAAGCAGTTGACAGTGATGCAGTCAAGAGATTTGTGGGGATTTACCGATTTCAAACTGGTGTTGATCCCTGTTTGGGACATGAATGCTTGCTACTGAGGAGTTACATAGTAGGACAAAACAGCTGTCCATTGCTTTCAGGTTTTCAATGGCTCCTCCATCAATAAATCCCTATGAACCTCAAGAACTTAATTAATATCCAGTGTTCATTCGTAACCTTATTCAAGATGAGATTTCCCGAAGTGCTAACAATAAGTTGTGAACTCTAGGACAAATCAACCTGGGTATGAGAACAGCTACTCAGTGACGGAATTGGATGGAGACTGCGATACACCGTGAATCATCAGAACTGTAAAGATGTGAACCATTAGATTCCGGCCTCGTGACTCAATGGCAACGTGTTTACTGTGATACCTGATGAACCAAGATTCTATCTTCGTGGAATCGTGAAGCACACTACTGAGAAATTGCATACTCAAACAAAACAGCTGTTCACTACTTCTAGAATTCTAATGGTTTTTCAAATGATGTAAGTCTAGGCTATTCTCAGGTACATGGAAAAGAGGTTGGAAATTTTCAGTGAAGTTAAATGCCTGTAAATCGTGAACATAATTAAGAAAGATAGCCTGAAGAAGCTGTCACACTTTTCATCTACATTGAATGTGAATAGTATTTTACAGTTGCAATAAATAAGCATTGACCAAAATTACTGTCCTCAGTTCCCTTTTTTCTTGTATTCACTACTAAACATGCTTGTAATAATCATAACAATTATTTCATCGACAATTATCTATGAGGGTTGACAATGCGTAGCAAATTGTGAATGGAGTTATATTAACATTCTGGTAATCAGTTAAACAAATCTGATTTTGATAAGCTTCATTACTTATAATTTTTACTAAATATCTGTTCCATATGATGAGTTAAGGGACGGCAGAAAGGTCTACAATTGATATATGCTTTTAAAATTAGAGAAAAATATGTTTTTTTTATTAAACAAACAAATGAAAAGTTACGGTTACATTACTCTTCACCAAATAAGTAGAGTTATGCAATGCCAAACAAACCATTACATCGCTGTAACTACCATACATTCAGCACAGTCTAGTAAATTTTGAAATAAAATTCTAAATTCCTATGATTATGAAATAAACACGAATTTTTTATATCTCAATAAAAAGCATAGAGTTTATATTCATAGATCCAAGAACCTGCTTTGATTATCCTCTCTATTCTAATATACGGATGCATATAATCAGGTACAGTCGTAGAAATGGTTATCATTATGAAATAAAATCAGAAAGGAAGTGTCTTGTCATTTACTTTATACTAAACTTGACTAGCTTATTTCACTGAACTATTTCCTTTGTCTTTGTCTATGAATTATAACTATGTATCCGAAATTTTCTGTTGCTGAGAAACGTATTCACCATCACTTATTACGTAACAACAAGCCATTACAATAAATGGTATTACACAGTCATCTCTCTAACAGCTACAATAATTTTTATAGTAGTATTTATCACGGACTGACATCATTTGCAAAATCATTGAAAATATGGGAGTATTGAAAAGTAAACACCAACGACCAGTCCTACCACGCATCCAACACAAGATCAATGCGTTAACTACTGGCTTACTGAGTCAGAGTTCAACAGTTCACAGTTTCTTACTTCTCTCAATTCATGATCATTATTCACTTCAATTGGAATCTTGTTTACTTCCAGCTGGAGGACTACACAAGTCATGAATTCTCGTTAGAACCTTGGAATATCAATCTTCAAGCATTTCGTAAATCATCTCTATACAGTAATATTCCTTGAAGTAATAGAAATTTTATTTCTAATCTCCCCAGGACTTCCAAGTTTTTTTGGTTCCTAAAAATGAAATCCACATTAACTTCAAAACACATTTATTGTTTACCAAAAAAAACATATATTATGGTTCACTAGCCATTGCTTCATTGTGTCTTGAAGTAGAATAGAATTTTTTTAAGCCGCAAGTATATGGTTAGATAACAACAACAATCGGTAGGTAATTAAAGATTCAATAACTACCTGAGAATGTTCACATCCTTTCTTTTACTGTCTCTCATGTGTTCAAAGTTGTTGAAAGCTTTATTACCTTACCCTCAAAATTAAGACACTTTATCTACATGGTAGCTTTATTCGCTTGGAACACCTTAGATTTTGAATGAAAATAGACATTCAGAGAGAAGTTTACCTTCACGTATCTGAATTCAATAATATCAGTAATGTCTAATAGTAGCAAACTAAGTCACAGTTACAGTAAGAGATGAGACAAGAACTCTGATGGGAAAAAATGATTTATGGACAACTTTATTAGACATACAGCATTGTATGCATTCATCGATATCCGGCAAGTGAAATGCTACTCTATCACTGTTCTCAATCGATCTATCCATAGTAAGCTTCTGACGAAGTGAAACATCTCTATTTCAAAAGGTGTACTTAGAAGAATTCAAATATACATTGGCATAGATGGCCACAACTATCCAACTTTGTTATAAGTACACAATGAACAGTGATATATTTTTGTATTTTTGAGATGAAAGGGGATTCTCATGAGAAGCTGTGACCTGTGGAGTCAACCAAACTAGTGGGAAGTGAAGTGGATGCTAAGTGAAGACCTTGGTTGACAGTCGCGATATGTCGTGAATTGACAGAAGTTGTAAACTATGAACCACTGGAAATCGACTGAGTGGCTGAATGGTTAACGTGTTCGCCGTGAAACCTGAAGGTCCTGAGTTTGATCCCTAGTTGGGTCGTGGGTGCCCGTGGCTGAGGAGTCGCATGCTAGGACGAGACAGGTGTCCAGTGCTCTTAGATTTTCAATGGTTCCCCAACTGATGTTAGTCCATGATGAATACTACTTCTATGTATTTTTGTGTTTTAGATAAGGTAGTCGTCAACATATGCTGGACTAACCTCACGAAATGGAGATTCTGGCTTCATGGCTGAAATTATATGATCTGCTGAAGTTGGGACAGACGTAGCAACCATGTACAATAGCTTATAACAAGAATACTATTCTAATTCTCTCTTAGTTTTCAAAATTTATTGATTGTTAAATAATGGATAACTACTCCAGTGCATTAGCAGAACATAATATGTTTCAACAGGTAAAAACTTTTATTCTATAATTGTAGAAAAAACTTACACATTATATCCAAACGATAGTCACCTTTAGCCCATATCATATTTTTTAATCTTTTCCTCAGTGAATTTCTCAACTTTCGACAATCAGATACACAAGATGAATCTTTATTCGATAGAAAACCTTGTAAAGAACCATTTGTTATTTGATACATTAAATCCGGTGATTCAACGCCAACCCAACATCGGATACGTTTTTGATGCATTGCTCTGTTAACTGTTAATTCTAAAGTGTTGGCATCACTTTGTATACCAATTAAACTATGTTCGTGTTCATTATCAATAGTTCGTTTTGTGTTTGATTGACTATCCAGAATGAAACTTAACGTTTCATACTCCACTGAAGGAACTGAATTTCCAATTGTCCAACTTTGCAAGTAAAAAATATTTCAAAAAAACATTGATATCAGGAAAAGATATACGTAATCATTAAAAATTCCAATTATGATTGAAAAGCTGTTTGGCTGAACATAGCGTATGGTTTTTAGGTAACTTCTTTCTCAGGTTCTATAGTTATATGTACATACTAAGGAATTGTGAGTCAGCAGTATAAAGATTCCGCCTATTAGTTTGTTAATAATATTTATTAAACGGTTGAGGAAGTCAGCTGAGAAAATTACTCTGTGAACGTTCATGATTGAATCGATTGTTACAAGGATTCAGTTGAAAATAACTTGATCATCTAATAAAACAATATCGAGGTGTTTATGACAACTGAAAGAAGGACAAAACAGGTCGTGAGAATTTGTCAAGATTATTTCGAATCATAGGGAAGGAGAGGTATGGAATTAGATTATCTGAGGCAGGATGCTGACGAATTTGTGCGTCCCAAATCCGGCCACTGTAACCGTGGAGGAGCACATAACTCCTGACTGCTACTGCTTATACACCGTGAATGATTCTAAGCTGGTTACCTATTGACAAGTTGATGAGAACACAGTACAGAATGCGAAATAGCTCATTCATATCCACTTTATGGTTCGTGAGCGTTTTGTGAGCAAGGAAAATTAATTCCCTACAGCAATGGCCAACGTAACTGGCTTCACAGGAGCAGTCAAACTGCTGAGTGTGTTGAAAAAGAAATTTATAAGCTACCAGTATTAAAAGTTCTCTGAATTGATCTACTTTGTTCATGAACACGTCACTTCTACGAATCATCGAAATCTTTTATGATTTCAACTGTTATTTAGGAAGAATTGTTAGCAATTGGGAAAGAGAAGAACAGTTTTGGTATGAAACACAACATCTAACCAGTACACACTTCTGAAACTAAGCCTCATTCCAAAGTGTAAATCAAAATAACCAGCAAAAAGGATCAGCACAATTAGATATAGAGAAAATAACTGAATTAAACATGAATTAGTTCAGATGAAGTTAACCGTTAGCTACAAGCTTCCATGTTCCTTATGGTAATGGTTATAGGCCATCAAAATGGATTCAATAATCAACTAAAACCTTCTATATTTTTATCATAACTTCAAACTTTTCCACAACGTCAAGACTTCTTTGAAGTTCCTCAGATTTGAACTACTAAAATAGAGCATAATAAAGCCTAAACTATTGAAAGCATTTCTTCTACGTCCTGAGTTTTTTTCCTAGACAAGAATAAAAGTAACTATTCATTCAATTCGCTCTAGACAAATAAAGATATTACTTAATTGAAAATACAAAATGGAAGCTTAAACTCTGTTTTTTTTACTTCTTCTTAAGAACAAAAAGAAACTTGATTAATTACGATTCTTTGTCATCATTCATTTCGGTATAATTCTAACGGTCTATTTTTATGAATTAATCCTTTTAACGTGTTCTATTTTTCGTATTTTTTTTTCAGTGTTTTTCTTTAGTTGTTTTCTTTTATTTTATTAGAGTGAAGAGGAAATAACTTTTCTTATTTCTTAATAAAATGGAATAATTTCATTTGACAGAATGATTTTTATAGGTCTTAATTATGCTAACAAAATGGAATGAAAACTTTCGTTCTATACTTGTATAGTATTCAAACCAATTAACATCGTTGATGAACAGATTACTACAAGTGTACTACAATGAGAAGTGAAAAATGTTTCAAAGACTTTTTGATGAGTAGATAATCAATGTTTTATACTTTTCTACCATCATCATAAAATACAGACATTATTATTTTTATATATTATTTTATTAGTCCCTTGGGTTCCTAGTGGAACATAGGGCTTCAGTAGCACGCCTCCAGTGACCTCTGTTCTCTGAGATCTTTTGAACCTGGTCCCACGACAGCCCACAACCTCTCATTTCCTCCTCGCATGACCTCCTCCATGTCACCCTCGGACGTCCAACTCGTCGCTTCCCATGGGGATTCCACTCGAGTGCCTGGCCTGACGCGTGATGTCCTCCGTCGGCCTTCTCAGTGCATGGCCAATCCATCTCCACTTCTTCCTGCATATTTGTTGCGTGATAGGTTCTTGGTTGGTTCGTTCCCAGAGTTCCTTGTTGCTTATTTTTTCTGGCCATCTGATCTTCACTAGCGAGCCAGCGTAAGCAGTTGTTGATGAATGTCTGTAGTTTATTGGAAATGCCTTTCGTGACGCGCCAAGTCTCTGAGCCATACAAGAGCACTGACTTGACATGTTGAATAAAATCCGCATATCAATAAAAATCTATGATTGAAGACTTTATATAATCTGATTTGAAATCGATTTCAATGACTTGGATACATTCACACATTATCATCTAAATCTTCATAACAAACCTTCATTACTATTTCATTCCTTTTTGTTCTCCTTTCATAATGTTCCACTTCTATATGATCAGATCAGATGTAACAAGTTTCATCGTTAGGTAATATTGTCACATTCGACACTGACCTTGACTGACTTTACATCCAAACTATTAGTGTAATGAAGGTTATAAGCCATAAAGGTGAACAAAAGCTTAATCTACTACGAGGTACTGAAAACAACGACTTCCTGACGTAAATTTAAAACAAGGAACAAACCTTAATATATCTGGATTTATAAATTTCAGTAGGACTCATCAGCGCTCTTTATTCTACACACATCATGTTGATACACTGTTATGCAATACAGGAATACATACGGACATAGTGCAAACTAAGATATTGAATGATACTTGGCAACACGAAGTAAATAACTTAACGAAATCAAACAGAACTATAAATAGTTTGCAGGGGGTCACAATTTAAGAACCAAGAGAGAAAAGACAAGGGATGGATAACATCATTTTGAAGAGAAAAATTAATAGTCAACTAGATGGCTTGAGAAAGGTGTGCATATAAGGTACCATAGGTGTTAGGTAAACAAAAATATTGATTATGATAGTGATGATAAGGGTGGATGATAATAATCATCAGAATAACAGGCAAAACATGAATGTTGAAAAGATTTTACAAAAGTCATTTTGAACAAAGGAAATAAACATGTTTTCAATCTGGAGGTTTATGGACATTGATGAATTGATTTCAGGTTGGAATCCGCTATCGACTGACATCAGTTCAAGGAACATTAGAAAACATAGAGCATTGGACAGATGCCTCATCCTAGTATGGGAATCCCCAACAGGACTTTTGGGTTCCTTAGCCAGCACATTACCAAGAAGCCACAGGGTCGGAACCCCATGTTTCCTATATTCCTCAAATTAATGTCAGCAGATAGTGAATTCCAACCTGAGATCAATTAGCACTTATTGGTGACTAGCTCCTAGAAGTGTTTCCTGAAGTTCCAACGAAAAGTCATGATCAGTGAAGCCAACCAAGGTGAACATGAGGACACAGTTACTCAACGATGACATTGGATGGAGGTCTCACTATGTTGTGAACTGACGGAAGTTGGAAATATATGCCACTGAATTCCGACCCAGTGGTTCAGTGGTAATGTTATGGCCCCACAACCTGAAAGTTCTGAGTACGACTCCTGGTGGGGCAGGGTCATGGATGTGCACAGCTGGGGAGTCCCACACTAAGGCGAACCAGTTGTTCAACACTCTCAAGTCTCCAATATTCCTCTAACTATTGTCAATCCATGATGAATTCCAACCTAAAATTAGGAAACTTGGTAAACGTGCAAAACTAGAGAAAGCTAGGGTAATACTTTATCACAGGCAAAATGGCACGGTGAAATCGCAGTACAACGGAATAATCATAATGATGAGGTAAACATACTAGGCGAGGGAAGAAACAAAATGGAAAAACAAATCACTCATAAACATGAATTAGTTTACAATACTTCAAAATCTCTTTGATGGAGGATTCAGGATGATTACCATTCCTTTATGAACAAATAGGCTAGGTCAACCAACTGTGATCGCGTATGCTGTCACCATCACAAGCGTTTTCTTATTACGCCATCTCTCAACAAGCTATCTATCTACATTATCAATCTGCTATCCTCCTTTAAATTATACATAGTCTCTTTGACCAAGTTACTTGATTCAATATATTAGTCTGCATGATGAGTGGATACATTTTCTCCCTACATAACAGGGTTCAAAATCACTAATATGAGAGTACACCTTTGGCATTACGGTAGATTGTAATTCCATTCCAGTCTGTTTATAAGAAATGCCACACAGTGAAGGAACAGTATCATTTACTCGATAACGTTTTGCACACAATTTATTGTCCATATTCATATCATATAACCCAACATCTCTCAGACATAGTTTATATACTTCCAATTTTCTCTCCTTCTCTGTCATGACAAGGGTAGTAGAATTTTCCAGATATCTACGACAGGTGCAAAACCATTTTTATTACTGCATATATTTGGTGTTGTTTCGATAAACAAAGATTTGATTATCAACCTCTCACTCCCTTCACTCAACTTAACTGGTTTTCAAAACAATCGTTCTGCCACCACCTATTGTGTGGTTGCGTACAATTGGATGCATAGCTAAAGCGGAGCTTTTTCCTAACTTTCCCTTCTTATTAGGATCTGCTAATCTTGATTTAGTCAGGTTTTGTGCTCTGTTATTTTAATCCATACTGTCCGACTACTTTCACTTGTAAATCGGGCCTTGCAGTTATTTCAAGGGATTTGGCAAAGAAAATAATTTTGTCTAATTTGGTCAAGTGGATGTTTCAACCTACAAAGCTGGTTTCCAAGTTGGTTTGTTGGTATGTATCTCAATCTAATCCTACTGTTATAGGGAATTCTTCGTAATGCTTCCGAGGTGCCTTCCTTATATGGTTATATATGAGAGGCTTTGAATTCTGTCTCCACCCTATCACCACTGTGACTATTAGTAGTAGGACTATTATTAATAACACGTATATTATTACTCATATTTATCTTTTGATTTCCTAAGAATTAATTTGTCTGTTGATCTTAGTAATTACTGAGATGCAAGGTATTCTTGAAATATATAAGTGTAGGTAGCTGTTCGACTGTAAAGGTTTCCTATAGACACCAGTCTCTAAACTTCTATATTGTTTTCATTTATTCTTGAAGTTCAACATTACTATCTCACCTTCATCATTTTCCCAGCCGCAGGTAAATTGGATTGCATTCACTACTGAATTTATATGTGCCAAAATCCTGTTAATCTTTTCGGACTTCAGTACCATAAACATGCCATCAACACATCTGAACCATATGTTTGCAGCAGAACTAAATTTTTGAAGGACAATCAGTTCCCAACTATCCATGAATATATCTGCGACAATCAGGACTATTGATCATCCCATGGTAACCACCAAAGTTAATTTACATACTTTATTTTGAAACTTAGGAACTGTAAATGTCAAAAACATAGTACTCCTAGTATAGTTTCCTCCATTGACACCTTTGTTTGATGCTTTATCTCATTATCGTCCTTAAGCCCATTTCTAACTTCATTTAGAGACATATTGGTCGGTATATTCGTGTTAAGATTGGTCATATCAAAAGTGTGTTTTCATTTTGATTTAAATGTTCCATATAACCTATGCTTTACGTCAAAAGTTATTAAGTAGAGATTTTGAGCATCCTTAGTGTGCCTAGTACCATTGCTAACTATTTAGGCAACTCCTAAGTTAGAGTGTTACCAAAATCTAATATAGGTCTGATGCGACATCTTAGCTTATGAATCTTAACAGTATCGAACATTCTACTGGGATTATTAGTTCTGAGCATCAAATTAAACCTTTTAACTCACCTGGAAAAGGCTTAGTCCGGCGTATTAGATCCTTTGCGGAATTTTTAGCCTTATATATAATAGTATCGACTGGTTTGTGGATTTTCTCATATAATCCTATTTCTAGATGCTCATTCAGTATGTAGATACAGCCAAATTTATTCATAACAACCGTTGAGTTGCCGTTATCCGACTTGGCTATTACCATATTGCTATCATTCTCAAGCTTCCTGAGAGCCACTCTTTTTAAAGTTAGGAAATTAAATTTCATTTACTTCTGTCGTTTCAGTGTTACAGCAAACTGTGCTCTTACGTCATCTGCAATTGCTTTATTCAGTGAATTTAACGCTATTTCTATTTCGGGAATGATATCTTCTGGTTTCAGTTCACTAACGACTACATTGAAGTTACCTCATTTCTCTTGCAGATAGGAGAGATCTAACAACACTATATCAGGTAACCAGGTTCATATCTGGGAAGAGATTAGCACAGATGGAGCGATTGAGAGATAGTGACGGAAAGCTATTTACGAAAGGAGACAGTGGGCTGGCCACTTCAGAAATCTCTTGGATGGACCACCACTTGCAACTCGTCGAGAAAAACTAGGCAGAACTACAAGTGAACTCAGGCCCTCCGACAAAAACAGAAGTCCTGAAAGCCATAAAACTGCTGAAATTCAGGAAAGCGGCAGGACCAGATGAAATTCCGCTAGAAAGACTGAAAGCAGACGCAGAGATAGCGGCGGACACGTTCACACCACTATTGCAGAAGGTTTAGAAGGAAAGAAAGGTACCTGGCGATTAGAAGAAGGGGTACATTGTCAAACTCCCAAAGAAGGGAGACCTAAGCCTTTAGAAGAATTGTGGTGGAATCATGCTGCTGTCCAGCCCAGGCAAAATATCATGCAGCATCATCCTGTAGAGACTAAACAATGCGCTGGATTCAAAATTACCACCGGAACAGGATGCCTGGCTTCAAGAAGAACAAATCAAATTGCAACGCTTCGCATCATCAGTGAACAGAATACAGAATGGCAGTCAACTCCCCACCTCAACCTCATCCACTTTGACAGCGTCAACAGACAATAAATTTGGCAACTGCTCCCTGATCTTCCAGATTGTGGTGAACTGGATCATGCAGCAAACCGTGAGAAGCGGGAAGATGAGCATACGCTTGACCGATGAGAAGACCATAAAAGATTTGGATTTCGCCGATGATTTATATCTAGTGTCGCACAAACTCAAAGATCTACAGACGAAATTTAACAAGTTGACAGAAGAGACAGGTCAGCGGAGACGGCACATCCTTCTGGTGAACTTAGAGAAGACGGAGGTGATGAAGATGCGCAGCCAACAACAAGCACCAATCAACATTAATGAGAGACAGCTAAAGGAAGAAGTCTTTTTCACCCAACTAGGTGGCAGCATCGTTTCAATTACAGGCGGCACATGCACAGACAAGGATGTCAAAACCAGGATCTGAAAAGCAAGACAGGCTTTGATTAATTTGAAATCAGTGCGTAGATTTACTACACTCAACATGTGGAACAAGATCCGGATTTTCAACACCAATTCAGTCAAGTCTGTCCTTCTATGTAGTTCAGAAACTTGGCGGGTCACGAAAGCACTTCCCACAAAGTACAGACATTCATCAACAGCTGCCACCTACGCTCACTAGATACTGAAGATTAGATCAGGAGACCAGAAAGAATAAACGAAGAGGAATTTTGGTCTGGCAACGAAGCAACCAACCAAGAACCTATCACTTAACTAATATACAGAAGGAAGTGGAGATGGATTAGGTATACACTGAGAAGGGAGACTGAGGACACCACGCGCCTGGCCCTTAGAGCTTGTGGTCAGTCGTGGAGTCAGGTTCAAGAGACTGCAGAGAAGAGAGTGGAATGAAGGCGTGCTATTAAAGCCTTATTTTCCATTAGGAACCTGAGGAAAAAATAAATATAATAATAACAGCTTCACTGAAGTTGCCGCTTTTCTCTTGTAATTTTTCTTCTGTTGAGTTGAGAGACTGCCAAATCACTTCGTCTTATCGATGATAGGTGATGGGCTATCATTTCCTATCATGAGCTTATAGGCTGTTTCACTAACTGTTTATATCAGCTTACATTTAAGTTCTTCAACGTAATTCACGATGTTGTGTACCTTTTTGACAATTCTATGATTTACTTCTTTAAAATGAAGTTTTATGATTCGTTCTATAGCTTCTCTGACTTTGTTTGTTATAACTGGTGCATATAAACGTAGATATTTAAGAATGGTTTGATTTCTGAGATATCAAATATAGACAACACAGGGGCTTATTTATCTATCTATCTTTGAAAGTCCTATAAATTTGTTGAATTGTAGCATTTTATTTCACTGTATTGTGTTGATGTATGTAACAACTCATTGAACACTTTTTGTTTAGTTGTACTGAAAAAGACTTTTTGCTCGCTCGTTGACTAATACAACATCCTGATTTATACTTCGCGTTAACTCCTGATATTTACGCTGTCTGACGCAGGTGGATCAGCAGTGTCGATAATTATAAATAGGCGATAGTGTATCTGGATACGTATATAAAATTTGGAGTCAGATTTCAGAGCTAGATAAACTAAAAGCAGCACTGATGGCAGTAAAGACTAATGACAAGTGGAGTGACAAATTACCACTAGTACTCCTTGGTATACGTTCGAGTGTCAAGCAGGACATTGGCTGCTGTACTGCTGTACTGCCAGGAGAGTATTGTAACCCGGCAACAGACGTTCCACCGGACTTGACTAACTATATGCAACAACTACGGCGACACATGAGCACACTTCGACCTCAGTCCCCACGATACCGAGACAACCAAGTTTACGTACCTCAGTGCATGTCAAACTGCACTCACGTTTTCGTCCGACACGACGGCGTACGAAAACCCTTACAGCCCCCGTATGAAGGACCTTTCAAGGTATTTAGTAAATCAGAAAAAGTTGTCACGGTCGAACGCTCGGGTAGATGAGAAACGGTCAGCATTGATAGAATCAAACCAGCATTTATGAAACTAGATGTCACGGATACCAAGTTTGAACCAGCAGTGAAGCAACCGGAAACACCGAAAACCACCGTCAAGACAGAAACAACGGTATCGGAATCACCCAATAATAGCGATGGTAGCAGAACCAGAAAGATCATATATTTCATTGAATGTAATGTAATAATTTGAAAATTACTGAAAATTATGAACTAAATAAATAATTATTTTACAACTTTTATTGCTTTTTTTGTTATTAAGTAATGAAATGTATTTTAGTGACTAACGAAAAGTTTATCTACCACCCTATTAAACTTTTAGCAACCAACTAAGTGGCCATAAGTTTCAGATACGATTATCGCTGAGAATTTTTCTCTTGATTAATAAAAGAAACAAAAATCACTATTATGCTAGTTTGATTCAACTTATTTTCTGGCTGAGATAACCTTTTACATGTACAATACTTCAGTGAATGAAATCTACCAAAATATGCTTTTTAGATCAAACCTTTACCTTATACGTATATTATTTATTTATTTATTTATTTATTTATTAAAAATATAATTATTTTATCTTACCTATAAAGTGGTGATTTTGGATTTGTATTAGTTATACATTCAAAGTTGACAGATTGATCTTCTCTAAAATGTACTTGGTCCGTGTAGTTGACAATGCGTATTTTAACATTTTCAATATCTATGTAACAATAAATCATATAAGAAAGTACAACTTTAAATATTTCGGTAATGTTTTTACATTCTAAATTCCTTGAAATAACATTTAGTTGCAGCTTGTCTATAAATCATCATTTAAATTATTATGTAAATAACCTTTACAATAAGTTTTAAGTCTTTGTCTTGATAAGTTTAGACTAAAATATTCTACATCCTAATGGAAAAACCAAAATTTACACCTAATATAACCACTTATTATTTTAGAAGTAGTATTCAGAATGGAGCGATATCAGTTGCGGCTCCTGAGCAGTACGCACCTACGACCTAACTAGGGATCAAACTCAGGACCTTCAGGTTTCATGGCGAACGCGTTAACCATTCAGCCACTCATACCACTCCATGATCAATACTATTTCTAAATTAAAAATCCTCTTTTATTTCAAAAATACATTACTATACAGTCCTGATTAGTGACTTGCTTCCAGATGCATATCAGGTAGCTGTAATGCAAAGCTATGACCTGTGGAGTCAACCAAACCAGTGGAAAGTGAAGTGGATGATAAGTGAAGGCCTTGGTTGACAGCCGCGATATGTCGTGAATTGACAGAAGTTGTAAAGTGTGAACCACTGGAAATCGACTGAGTGGCTGAATGGTTAACGAGTTCACGGTGAAACCTGAAGGTCCTGAGTTTGATCCCTAGCCGGGTGTTGGGTGCCTGTTGCTGACGAGTCGCATGCTAGGACGAGACAGGTGTCCAGTGCTCTTAGATTTTCAATGGTTCCCCAACTGATGTCAGTCCATGATGAATACTACTTCTAAATTAAAAATCCCCATTCATCTCAAAAATACATTACTTATTATTTCCTTTGTTGATTGCTTTGTACCAAAGTCATCGGCTATCGTTGGTTCATGAACTTCTGTGAGGCTCCTTCAAACTAACAAGTAACTAAGTTTTTGACTTTAAGGCTGAATACTACAAACTAGTGGAATTTAGGGCGTATATTTTGCCCTAATTGAGACTTGTCAGGTATGTACCCAGGCTCTTTCAACTATTTAGGAGGCAGCATCGTTTCAACTGCAGGCGACGGCACAGACGATGACGTCAAAGCCAGTCGGGATCGGGAAAGCAAGACAGGCTTTCACTAACCTGAAACCAGTGTATAGATCTTCTGCACTCAGCCTGTGGAACAAGATCCAGACTTTCAACACTAAGTCAGTCAAGTCAGTGCTTCTATTTGGTTGAGAGACTTGGCGCATTACGAAAGGAATTTTCAACAAACTACAGATATTCATCAACAACTACCTCCTATGCTGGCTCCTTACTGAAGCTTAGAAGGCCGAGAAGAATATGCAAGGAGGAACTCTGGGAACGAACCAATCAACCAAGAACCTATCGCCCAACATATATGTAGAAGGAGGTGGAGATGGATTGGGCATACACTGAGATGACTGGGGGACATCGCGTGCCAGGCCTAGATGAGAAAGGACGAGTTGATCGTCCGAGGCGAGGTGACATGTAGGAGATCATGTGAGGAATAAATGAGAGCTTGTGGACAGTCGTGGAGCCTGGTTGAAAAGATTTTAGAGAACAAAGTAGAATGGAGACGTGCTACTGAAGCCTTGTATTACACTAGGAAAAAACTTAGATTGTGTTAGCAAACGTATAATGAATTCATATGGCAATCATGTAAGACCTAAAATATATATGTTAACCAAACGTTTGTTCGTTGTAGACTAGATTATAAGTAAATATTTCATGAAAATTTTACACAGAATGATAATTTTTTTTGTTTCTGTAATATTTCGATTAAAATATCTCTACGTGATCATATCAACAATGAAACTTTTCTCAACAATATTTATTCATATATTCATCAAGGATTGGGATCATTTAGAGAATCTGAAATCAGTAGACATTCGTTTCGTCTTATTATGGGACACCTCAGCAGTACGCACCTATAACATGACTAAAGATCATACTCAGGACCTTCAGGTTTCGAGGTGAACGTGTTAACCATTCAGCCTTTAGGTCAAGGTTCAATGATTCAACATTTCTAACTTCTGTCAATTTGCGATATAACTTGATAATCAAGCCAAGGTCTTCAGTTGGCATCCACTTAGTTTCCGACTAGTTGACCTAACAGGTCATGATTTCTCATTAGAACTTCGGGATATCTATCTAGAAACATGTCACAAATGAGCACTATATGGTAATTCATTTTGAGGTTTATGAGGATTTTATCAAGGTAGTATTTTTCTAATCGAAGTCACATTTTTCACCTCATACATGAATTACCATCCAAATTTTCGAACTTTCGTCCCTCTTTGAATTGTCTAGCTTTCAATGATCTTGACGTTTGTCCTAAATGGCTTATTGAGAAGTCTGTGTATGGTATTTTATATATTACATCAATCTTGCCCTAAATTTTTACCAGATCGTTTAGTTGTTTCAATTTATTTTCTATCAGATTCATCGGTTTAATAAATTCTGTGAAAATACAAATCTTTCTAAAATATCCTCTAGTTGCCTGTGATGTGCCTTCCTGGCATAGCAATACCATCACCTTTCTCTATTTATCTTACTTATTGACTTCTGCTGTTCACTTTTGTTTCTTCTTCCCGATGTCTTTGGGTAGGGTAGCATCAATAATATCTTAAATAAGACATCTATCTCTATTCGTTGCTCATCAGGGTATATTATTTGTCTACATAATCTGTTTGCCAAACCAAATATTAATCCTTGCTTTACTGTGGTCGAGTGGACTGACTAGTACTTCAGAAACCTTCTAGAATATGTCAGGTTTCTACATAGCGCTGTTTCCCAACTGCTATCTACTGTCTATTTGTCTATCTACTTGTGTTCGGTGTAAACGTTTCACTAAAAATATGCCTATAACACATAAATATTTTCAAAGCTTGAAGGAAAATTAAAACTGAGTTAGTAGATGTGTTTTGTAGCCCAGTTGGTAGAGATTCAGGCGGCTAACCTGAATGTCTCTCATTCAAATACTGTTTAGTTTCAGGTTTTCGTTTCACTTTCAAACATCAGTCTGTTGAATCACATTCACTGCAGACAACCTGACTGATAGAAAAAAGTTAATACCATGAACAAGTTTCTTAAGTATTACGTAAAGAAATGTGAAGATTCTCAAAATAGTATCAGAGACAGTTTCCTAATAAATAATATGTACAGGAAAATGTATTACTGAATATTTATCATACTAGAATACAAACAGATGACATTTCCATTATATGAAATCCAGGGGGCAAATCGTCAAACTACTATACTTTTCAATCATTTAACTGTATACACTGAAAACTTTATAGAAGCGAATATATATATATATATTGGCTTTTTAGGATCTTCTTACACATTGGTTCAATTGATGCAGTTATAGTCGGCAGTTTTGCTGGTTTAAAGTCTTCTGGATTGCTAACACCACATTCCAATTGCCAATGTTGATATTTTCTTTCAATGAATAATGTAAGTTGACTCTGTGTAACTTGCCTAGAAATAATTCCAAAAATTGTAGAGAAGTGAAAAAGAAAAAAAATGACATCGATAAAAATCTTAAGCCAGATATATTTTTTAATGAGTTGAAAAATAATTGAAAAACTGTGACTATTAAACAGTTGCTTCTGCTCAGAAATGTGTGCTCATAAAAATAAGAAGGATCACAACTTAGACTGTGAAATTTCACAGTAAACATCTTCCAATTGAGCCACTAAGATCCTGTTCAACTACCTCACAGAAGTAGGAAAATTCAAACCAGTGAGTTCTCACTTGGCGGCTGAATGACAACGTATTAACCCAGATTCGACAGTTTCGCAGGCACTCACTGATGAATAGTCCAACACTGGGGTAAACCAGCTCCCCATTGCATCTAGTTATACAAGTGTTTTCAAACGGTTATCCTTCTTTGAAGAATGCCACGTTGAAACTAATCAGTCGATAACCAAAAGTTAAAAGTACTCTTAAAAAAGGTACTATTAAATGTTTCAAATTAATTCTGCTTATTCTTCTAATGAGAGCACTCTATCAAGGTCATTCCTTTGAACAAGAAATTAGTCGTATTCTTCATTGAGAACAGTTGAAAATACTGAAAAGCTTTAAAGATAATAAAACATGATGTAGTGGATAACGCTCTCGCCTTTGAAGCGATCGCTCCCGAGTCCGAGTCCCGGTGGGAACAACATCACTCACTGGGAGGCAGGTGCATCCAGCTGATGTGTCCCTAATAGGACGAAATGCCTATCCTGGATTCTACTGCAAGCCACTGCCCATCATTACTATACATAATTAAAAAACAGGCAATATCGAGGCATATGCACAGGAGGCCATAGGCGATCAGAGACTGATCAATTCGGTACAATCAACGACGGTGTAAAATAAGCAATAACAATAAAAGGAAATGTTGTAGATCCGCTAGATACCAATCACTTTCGAAACATATGTTATCTTTTAGTAAGGTACTACTGAAATATCCAACTTAATAGCAAAAATTCTTGACCTTCTTCAACTTGTCCGGAGTTATTTTACTTCTCAAAAATACTAATACTGATCAGTTTACTTATCTGTGCTATAAAAAGTTGATTAAAAACGCACTGGATTCAAAGAAACTTAAGTCAGTCGAACAAAAAGTGTATTGAAGGATCTAAATGACGTTTCTTCAATTCACAAAGTACAGAATCACACCTCACATCATTCACTGAGGTGTACAGATACATCCAGCTGGCAAGTCGAAGATAAATATATCATCATGAATATCCAAACGTATCGAGACAATCGAAAAGGAGCTTGTTTGCCAATAGAGGCCCAACAGTTTGGTTCTGTACAGGAAATGGAAATCATCAGCATCAAAACAATAACTGATACCCATTGCACAAGCGGTTGGTATCAAGCCCCAGTTCCCTGGTGGTTAGCCATTTGCATTTGAAGCAATGGGTAGGGGTGTCAAGCTTCAGTGGGAACAATATCACTCACTGGGTGCAGTCACATCCAGCTGACGAGTCTTAAATAAGACGAAACATGTGTCCTGTACTCCATTAGTAGTCACCAAAAGGAGTACAGAATCACAAGTTTTTTTCATTTTATACCAGCTAATTTGTTACGTTCTAACTAGTAAAGATTTAATAAGCCAACCAAGTAAAGTTAGAAATGAAAATATTTAACAGTTTAGTCGCAAGTTATGCTGATATTGTCAAACAGAAGTAGCTATTCTGAAGAGTTTCAAATAGCCTATATTCCAACAAAACTATTCAACACTTCATCATATCTTATTGGTGCACTACGATGAAGTCAAAGTAAGTTGTGTGAATCATAATAATTTATCACTAAATGAAATATAAATAAGATTATGATAACTTAAGTGTTGCTGGGCAAAGACTATGAAAACCACATCTAACAAGTCAAGTTACCAAATATCAATGCAAGTGATGAAAATTCTTCATAACAATGTACAATGACTAGCCAATCTTTCACTTACACAGCGTTGCATTAAAATTTTACGTAATCTTTCCTCAAAATTAGACCATATAGAAAGAAAATTATAGTGTTACGTAATTTTATAGGCTTCAGGCTGGAAATCTGACCTGATAGAGTTAAATAAGTTGCGTATTGGGCAAACAGATTACAAATTGTAAATATTCTTTATCTATAGTGTGTTACATAAGTTCCATAAAGTGTAAATACAATTAAAACAACAACAACAACGCAATATAAAAAGGTGTATTATACAACTTTTCACAACCTTTACACCTTTTAACTGTATACTTAGTGTCGATATGATATTGTGGTCTCTTTTACCTTGAAGAACTCATGTATTCTATTCCTGTTTATTGACGTACTTGTTATTCTCTGTTGTTTTGTTGGATCGAATTGTTCTACCTATATTGGCATATAGGCTCCTATGCGGATACCTTGATATTGCCTGAATGTTAATTATGATAAATTCTGCTAGCCACAATCAACCAATTTATCATAATTAACATTCAGGCGGTATCAAGGTATCCGCATAGGAGCCTATATGCCAATAGAGGTAGAACAATTCTATCCAACAAAACAACGGAGAATAACGAGGATGTCAATAAATGGTAGTAACTACTACCAGTTGTACAACAAGTGGCTAGCGTTCTTCTGTGGCATAGTGGGTAACGTTTTGGTATTTGAATCGATGGGCACGAGGTTCGAGTTTCAGTGGGAACAACATCACTGGGGTGCAGATACATCCAGCTGACCAGTGAGTCCCAAATAGGACGAAACGCATATCCTGGATTCTTCTGCTAGCCACAACCAACCAATTTATCATATATTCTATGTTTTTGTATATCGAATACATAAACTCCTAGTTAATCGCGCTTCTTAGGGGCACGTTTCAGTGAATGATACCTTCTGTGTGTCATATCTTGTGGAGAGATTCATGAATCTAGTTGTTATTAAATCCTAATGCCACACTCTCATAGTGATACGAGTGTAAATGTATGCCTTTTTACATCACTAATGAGTAGCAATATGATCTTACAGTATAAAATGATGTAATTCAATAAAAACAAAGACTGCTGAGTTATGATATATACTTACATTTGTACATCATCAGCTGAATTTCTTTCAGATGTACTAACAAAAATTTCGGATCCATGCGTTCTATCATCTTTGCGTAGTGACTTGTCTGATACATTGACTACTTTCTCTTCAATTGAGTAACGAAATAAATGATTATGGTCATTAAAGAGAAAATATGATTTGTTGCTTTGGTCGCTTTCTGAATGTTGTTCAAAATATTTGCTTAAATCAGGATGTTTGATCAGTAATGTACCAGCTAAATGCCATTGAATTGAAGTTGCAGGCTTTGATGGAGAACTACGACAGGCTACAACTAAATGTTTATTTTCAGGAATCCATAACTTAGGAATTGAATTGTGTATAAAAGTTGGCTGACTAGGTGCGATTTGATTAATTGCTATTGGTTTTAGGGTCAACATCTGTGAAATTTGTTGTTCATCAGTTATTTGACTAAGGGGATCAATGAATTGTTTACTATTTCCAAAGGATGATTCACTTTCAGGATCATCAGCAACTATACGACTGAGATCTCGATCAAATATTTGACCTAAATCTTCTGTTGAATAGTGATTTTCTTTTAAACCATTGGTATAGGTAGGTGAATGCTTGTTAGAAGGTATACTCAAGGGATTTATAGTGGCTAACGTTTGACCCTCTGGTAAATGCAGTAAAGTGAGTTCAGAGGGAGGATCTACAATTTCAGAAAAAACTGAATAAATATGTACTGTCAACGTGAATAATAATTTATCAGAGATAATGCATGGTACGCAATATGGCAGCATATGTAACCAGTGCGCTAATATTATCGTAACAAAGGGAAACAATTGATGTTATTGCTTGTATTATACCATCGTTGATTAGACCGAATCGATCGGTCTCTAATGGCATAAGGGCCGCTGTGTGGTTGCAGCCCATATGCCTATAGAGACTGATCAATTCGGTCCAATCAACAAAAGTATAATACAAGCAACAGTACTAAAACTATACCCGTCGCACAAGAAAAGGCTATCATGGCTCGGTCGTCTAGTGGAGAGCGCCCTCACGTTCAAAGCAATCGCTCGCTGGGAGGCAGGTATATGTAGCTGACGAGTCCTAAATAGGACGAAATGTGCATCCTGGTATCCATTGCTGGCCAATATTCACAATTAATATAAAAGGAAAATATAGCTGATTTGAAATGTGTCGCTTAATACATGCAATATATTAACCAAATACGGGTAAGACAACTGACTGAATTGCAAAAAAAATATAGAAGGCCTAAACGAAATTATTCGACTAAGGTTCATCTCGACTGCGTGAAAAGTATGTACATACCTGATACCATAAATACAGAATTCATCCGACATAAACCGAATTCTGCCAAATTGTAAGACCTTACTTAGCCTTCAGCTTTTCACAGAATGTTTCTTTAAGTTGATCACAACCGATTTTGTCATATAGATTTCACAGAAACATTATTATTGTAATCATTGCTATTATTATCTGTCTCTTGGGTTCCTAGTGGAACACACTAATTCAGTAGTAAGTCACCATTTCACTCTCTTCCCTCCAGTCTTTTCAACCTGGGTCCACGACTGTCCAAAAGCTTTCATTTCTTCCTCACACCAGCTCCTACATGTCATCCTTCAACACCCAACTCATCGTTTTCCATTTGCCTTCCACTCGAAAGGCCGGCCTGGCACGTAATGTCCCCAGTTGGTCTTCTCAGTGTGTGACCAATCCAATCCATCTCCACTTTCCTCTTGATATTTGTTAGGTGAAAGGTTCTTATTTGGTTCGTTATCAGCCAGCCAGAGTTCCTTGTTGCTTAGTGTTTCCGGCTTTCTGATCTGATCTTCAGTATTAAGCCAGCGTAGGCGAAAGCTGTTGATGAATGTCGGCAGTTTGTTGGAAAGGCGCCAAGTTTCTGAATCATATGGAAGCATTGACTTGACATTAGCGTTGAAAATCCGAATCTTCTTGTTTATGCTGAGTGAAGTGCAGCAGATCTCCATACAGATTTCAGATTAATGAAGGCACGTCTTGCTGCCTTCCCGATGCTGGCTTTGATGTCCTCATCTGTGACGCCTGTAGCTGCCTAGGCAGGTGAAAGAGACTACCTCGTTTAGGTTTCTCACACTCATAGCGATTGCAGTTTGTTGTTGATTCGATACCTTCATCACCTGTGTCTTCTCTACGTTCACCTGAAGGATGCACCATCTTCGCTGCCTTGCCTATTCTGTCAACTTGTTAGTTTTTGCCTGTAGATCTTCGAGTTTGCATGACATTAGACATTAAAGATCAATCATAATGGGCGAAATCCAAATGTCCTAGGAATTTTTCATCGGTTCAACAGTGTACTCACCTCTTCTCCCTCCTCACAGTTCGTTGCATGATCCAGTCCACTCGAGTCAACAACATTCAGGAAGATCATCGACGATAGTAGGCAGCCTTGTCTTACTCCTGTCTTCACTTCACTTCAAAGGTGTCAATGAGTCTTCCACTGAGGATCACTTGGCGTGTGGCGTCGTCATATAGTTGTTGAATGAGGTTGATAAAGATTTGTGGCACTGAAACCGCAGTGTTGAGGTAGTTGGCAAATCACTTCTCGGTCGATGCTGTCGAAGGCCTTTTTACAACGGTGAAGTTGAGGTAAAGATCCAGTTGACTACCATCCTGTGCTCTATCCTATGATGATGCGTAGCATAACGTTGCAATTGTATCCGCATACGATCTGTTCTTCCTGAAACCGGCCAGCCAGCCTCTTATGGTCGTAATTTTCAACATAGCGCATTTTGTAGTCTCTCCAAGATCATGTGGCCTAATATTTTGCTTGGTGTTAACAGGATCATGATTCCGTGTCGGTTCTCGCAGAGACTTAGATCTCCTTCTTTAGGAGTTTGACAAGGTAGGCCTTCTTCCAATCGGCAGATATCTTTCCCTCCTTCCAAATCTTCTTCAGTAGTGATGTGAGCATGTCAGCTGTTGTCTCCGTGTCTGTTTTCGATGCTTGTGGAGGAATTCCATCTAGTCCTGCTGTTTTTCCGGCTTCCAGTAACTCAATGGCTTTCAGGACTTCACTTCTACTTTTGTCGGAGGGATTGTGTCCACTGATATTTCTGTGTCTGGGCTGCTGGTGATATTTCTGGACAAGTTGCAGATTGTGGTCGGTTCAAGAGTTTTTGAAGTGGAGAGCCCATTGTTTCCTTTGCTTCTCCTATTTGTTAACTAGATTTCTTTCACTGTCTCTCAACCACTTCATCTGTGTTGATCTCTTCCCAGACAGAAACCTGGTTATTTGATGTAATGTTGTCAGGTCTCTCCAACCTGCAGCCTATTCTGCTTCACTTTCCAGTGTGTCATAGAAATGTCTTTTTTCTTTGCGCGCACTCTTCTTCACTTCTTTTTCCAGTGTTTTATAGGTTGTACTCAGCTCTTCTTTTCGTTGTTCATCCTTGCACTATGGTGAACTGCACTGGTTCATCTTCTGCTTCACCACTACCATCTTCCTCTCTCTTCACTATCAGGCTCCATGTATCCGTGTAGATCCATCCCTTGTCTGGCTTCCTCAATTCTCCTTCTTAATTCGATTATGCAGGTTTCTTTACACGTCTCCTTCGAAGAGTACCAGTATTCTTCCGTGCAGGTTTCTTCAACGATGTTGAGCAATACTCCTCATTTTTCCAGATGACTGATGTGAAGATGTTCCTTTGTAGTTTCATCCTTCAGTTTCTGTTCTGATTGTTCAACCTGAAATATGGTCTATCATAACCAGCATCTGTGAAGGCTTTCAAACTGATTTGGAAGGTTCCTTGAACTAGATAGTGAGTGATGTGAACCTAAATCTGCTCACCTTCTTCATCTGATCTTGTGTCTAGTGGGTTGACTGCCTCTCCACTTTCTCCACATTGAGATGAAGTCGATGTGATTTTTAGTGTGATGCGTCCATTGGTGAGATCAAATCCATGTCGCCTTGTGAATATCCTTGTGTTTGTATACACTACCTCAAATCACGAAATCGGTGAATACGCAGAAGTCTGAAAACACCTCCATTCTCTTTCATTTCACTGAGTGCTTGTCGACCCATGATTGGTTCTCTTCATGTGTTGTCCGCTCTCAGTTTGGCATTCATATCACCCCATCTATTAGAATTTTGAAATTGACAACTGAGGTCTCGTCTAATACTGATTGCAGTTGTCTATAGAACTCCTTCTTCTCTAGATCTGCGTTATTATTTGAAGGTGCGTAGCGTATCATTGTATGATTGTGACTTTCCTTCATTTTGAGTTGAACCTTGCTATTATGATCCTGATCGGGGAAGAGATTGTTTCCTATTGCCTGAGAGCCTTTGATACTGTTGGAGACATGATGATAGTGACTCCCAAACTCAATGTACTGGCAGTTGTCGTCTGGGTGACAGTATTAGAGTAGTTTATTGACTCCTCGCCACTTGACATTTAGGAGAGTCCACTTCAGTTCCACCTGTTTTCCCAGATTTCTAGCACTTCTATGCTTTACCTTCTCATGTCTTTTCAATCTGGGCAGCCTTGCTAGGTTCATACATGGTGCGGAGATTTCCTGTCCCATTCGTACTTTCGCTTTCATCGAGAGAAGCGAAGACACATTAGCCAATTGGCTTACTGAAGGCTTTCGTCAACCGGTGTCATTTCGTCTCATCGATTCCAGTGAGGAATAAGTTTAGTCTTATGTTTGATATTTACTTTGTGCTTTGTAGTTTCTGTAGCGATTGGATTGGCTTTTACGAGTAGGGTTGCTAGCCCTATGCCCAGCCTTCCCTTTTTGTCCGGGCTTAGGACTGTTTATTAATCAGTGAACTAGTTAACTAGGCGAGGTTTCACAGAAACATAATTCAGTGAGCAACTACTGGTATCTGGTATGTTGCCACTGCAAGCTTTATGTACCAGTTAAGAATAAAAGTATAACAGCAAATGATGGGAATAATTTAAATTGCGCTCAAAATTATTCATGCCATACGTTGTTTGGAATGGAATACTGATTACCTACGTCAACCACGCTGCATGCGGGATATCGGCAGTGCTGCTTAAAGCCGATGAGTATCTAACTTTTTTACATGATTTGGTTGTTTAAAGGAAAAAACGACGAAGCATTACAAAACCATAGGGTACTGAATCACTTTTTTCATCTTCGAATGTAAAATGTCAATTCCCCTCACGTCTGAGATCTATTTTTCTGTATGCAGTCCGGAAGAGTTATTGAATAAAGAAATATGTTTGAAATCTATTAAGTAATATAAATTAATCTCAGATTTTGTAGACTTAAGGATCAAAATTTGACCTGATAGAGATGAATAAGTTGAGCTGTGGGTAAATGGATCATAATGGAAATGTATTTGTAGGATCTCAACGAAGTAGAGAGATAAACTCCAGACATTTCACAACCTTGTGGAAGTTTCTTCCTCAGAGAATGAAACCCGTACAATTTACCAAATGGTTATATGGTAAGTGAAGGTAAATCACATCGCAAAGTTCATATAATGATGATAATAATATCGGAATAAATGTCGTTGCTGTCAGTTATCAGTCTATGAATTCAGGGAGAAGATATGAATGTGTGTGAAGGTGATAGAAAAATACCATCTATGAGAAATTCATTTGCCTTATGTTTAAATGTGATGACGAATATATGCAGCGCTGTATTTTGGGTATACTGTCCACATTGATAAGATAGTTAGGCTTTCTCATTCACGATTCTACTTATTCATACATTATCATCATATATAAACAACATGATACTATTCGGAGACAGTTTCCTTTTATGAGGATATCATTTTTTAAACCAGTACGATCATATGTATATATATCACAAACATCTAACAATCTATTATGAAATAACAAGGTATGTCTGCACCATTAGGCTAGTTGTTTACCAATCTTTTAGACAATGAAAATAACGATACAAGTAGGGGGTTTGACAAGGTGAACATTTTTATTAGATATTAAGGCAGAAGACTGAGTGCCTATTTGATAGATATAAAGATGGAGATGTTAGTAAGGTAACGAATTATAGTGAAATGGAAAAAAGCCATGAAAGTGTTAAGACCAAGATAATACAAGAGACTAAACATACATTTTTTGGGCTCAGAGATCAGGCTTGAAGCGCTGAATCGCCGGTGCTTCTGCTGCACACAACTGTCGAAAGTGCGCTGCTTCTAGTTATGCAAATGATATACAAAGGAGGACTCTGGCAAAACTATATGTTCAGAGTTGACCAAATGTTCAAGAAATAAACTACTAGAATTTTGAGGGAATTGTGGGGATTTGGAAATATTTCAAGTTGTTATTCATTGTAGACTGACGTCAGTTTTAGGAACTAAGGAAACCTGGGAGCACTGGACAGCTGTTTCGTCCGACTAGTATGGGACTCTTCAGCAGTGCGCACCCACGACCCCGCTAAGAATCGAACCAGCGACCTTCAGGTTCCGTGACCAGCACGTTACCATTAAACCACTGGGTCGGAACCCAATGCTTTATATTTCCAACTTCTGTTAGCTCACGATACAGCACAACCACCACGCAATGTCATCGTTGAGTAATTGTCCTCACAACCATCAATCTTTGCCCCCACCGGTCACGACTTCTCACTACTTCTCCAGTGATCCCACGTTTCTTTTGTTCCTCCGACTGATGTCAGTCAACGATGAATAACAACTTGATGTAAACTATTAATTGATTAATTTTCTCACCTTGACAACCAAGCAATATAGTATTCAAAGGTACGCTTAGAAAATGCAAGTTAAAGGTGGCCAATATGCCTAGTTCCACAGAAGGAAGTATATTTGTAGATACACACTGAGGTGGCCAAAAGCGCTAGCTTGTCCCGAATACACCCCAGAATCGATTAATAATTAGAGAAGCTGATTTATTTTTGATTTGTTAGTTCACTATCATCACCTTCCATCATTATAACCCGTATTTCTCTCTTCGCCTTTTATTATTTCTAACAAGTGGACACTCAATCTTCACATTTCACATCTGCTATCAGTCTCCACTATGTCAAAATCCGTACTTTTGTAATTATTTCCATTGTATAAAACATTGTTACGCAACTACTTTTCATTCTTGATTTCAGTTGTTTATCACTAGCTTAATGTTGTTATTACACTCTATTGTTTAAGAGTAGACTGTAATACACTTGTGATATATATATATATATATATATATATATATATATATATATATATATATACAATTGTACAGCTTTAGAAAATAATGTCGCCGAAAAAGATTTCCTTCAATGAATTTTCTCTTCTTTTCTCTATGACTCATTGGGGATGTTTCAAAAATTTATTTTTCTACCTCATTGTGGTTTGACAAGCATATTTCCTTCATAACTTCAAATTCAACAGTTAAAGATATCTTGGAATCAATTAAAAATGCTTTTCCTCCCTGAAAACTAACTGAATAGTATCACATTCAGAAGCCTATCAAACAACGCTTACAGTATAAGCATTTACTACTCTTTTCTCACTGAAGTGTATATGTTCACAATGCAGATATCTAATGGTTTTGCATCATCCTCGGTGGTGGAATATATTCATTACAATGGATATTGAATTTCCTTCACTCCTCCTTCATAATATTTAACAAATCCTGACTAATAATATTCTTTTCAAACCTGTAGAATTTATTCCCGAATGACGTAAAATAAGTATTGAAATAAATAATTATTCAAAGAATATAACTATTGACGTCCAAATGATTATTCTGCGCTTTATGTCACGACGTATATATATGTTTACGAGTCGTTAGTTTCGCTATCATTTTCTATTTATGAACAAAGAGGTAAGATTGTGTATATGCATATAAACATGACTTCCTTTTTCTCAAGCTGACAATATTCAGTGTCCTCACGTGAAAGCTTTTATCCACAATCTAGTTTCTGAAGCCATTGTTTAGTACATTGAAATATTCAATGTACATAATGAAATAACACCAGGATAAAGATGAACTGAATAAACTTTATAGTTGTTGGTTTCTGATGGAAACACTGTTGACACCACAGTTTGGTAGTTGTAAAACTACTCAGCTCTAAGAAATATGAACGTACGTCGTGTAGTTTATAAGGTATTTGGAAGTTGAACATCCTATTTTAGGCTATATGAGCTAAATTTCTCCGGCTACACTGCCAATAAGCTGAATACCAAACGAGTGAAACCGCCATCCGTTACGTACATTACTCGATCTGGCTGGCGAAATCGACAGATAAACGTCAGTAACTTCTATTACTGAAGTTGTTTACTAGTATAAAGCTCATTGTACGCTAACCATCATTGAGGTATGTGTATAATGTGTAAAATGTGTTTAACAAAGAAATCCTTTCCAATCAGTTCAACTTTAGGATTGTTCTTAACACCTCATCTTACTCTTTCTTGAAACAGAAGAAAAATGTCTTTTTAAGATGATTCTTGATGGAAATAACTTTCAAATTCACAGCTGAAGCTGGTAGGAAATCCAGCTGTAAAAGATATGAACTTCTTCAAAAATATTTGAACACTACTTAATTCAACAATGCCCCCAAAGTAGACCGAGAAGTATTAGTTTCGTTCAACTGAAAGATCACCTAACAAATTTCTGCAAGCGAATGACTGTTGAATTATCTGAATCTCCAGTGAGATTTAAGTGAGATACAAACACCATCTGTAATGAGGGAAGATGCTGATCAGTATTGGTTGAGGCTAGATGGAGGCAACTGATTGGGGAAAAGACTAACTTATCAACAAAATATCTTGAGAGTACTGAAACGCATCAAACCGGACACTGATAGTCTTATGGTGCACCTAGACGGTTATCACTTTGAAGCCTTCACTTTCTCGTCTATAAACATCTATCTTCCAAAATAATTATCTTCCACTCGCTTGGTTTGAGAATGTTTACTGATTAGGTTGCAATCTGACTGAACTATACAGAATGGTGCTTACAAAATTTGGAATTGTACATAATTTCATTCTTATGACGCACATTATTTCTCTAATGCTTAAGCTGTTTGTACGATTCACTAAACAATTTTAAAAGTTTTTCTTCAATTTCTTATACATTTTCCACTTCGTTACATTGAGTGCCAAAGGAATTTATTCTTCTTTAGTCGGACTGGTAGGTGAAATATCACGTCATTTAAAAGTACGCTACTGTTAATAATCATTGCGACTTGATAAAGTAAAACTTCTCAAGTTATAGTTTTGAATAGTACCAGTAAGAATATTAAACAGCCCGGTAGTTCAGTTGTCTACTGAAGCCATCAAGGAATAACCACTTTCTTATCCACTCTCTTAAGCGAAATTCAGATGCCCAAAATTAGAAATGGTAATGTAATGGATAAAAAATCTTCAAGACCTATTGAATGTTTATATGTCTTTCGAATACAAAACTTTTAGAAAAATGAAGTTTACTGATACACTGAAGATGTATCTACAAAGAATTATCCAACAATAACTTACATATAACCGTCAAATAAGCAGGTTTACTAGTAATCGTGTCCAATTGTGGCGGTAATCCTGAATTTGAATATATTTTGATGTTTGCTTGACAAATAAAACTTGCTTCATCTTCAAGTTGTGCATTCCTAATTCGTAAGTCGAAGTTACCTGAAGAAAAGAAAATATGAGCGTCATAGATGTTCCCAAACTAATCATCGAAGGGTAAGCGACGTATCACATACGAATTATTTCACTACCAAACTCCCACTGGATTTAATCTACCATGTTAGGATTATGACCAGATAGCTAAGTGACGTGACAATATAGTTGATCTTGACAAAGCTTGACCAGATCGTGGAGATTCAAACCGGTATTTCTCTTATGTGTGAATTATTTAAAACGATATACAGGTCACACCGGAAACTTGATCCGCATGCTTCGGCTAGTACTGAGCACTCAATACTAGAAAATTGTGTTGTTCACTCACTGATTACACATCTACATATATAGTTCGGTCATCCAAGAGGTTATCAGAGGTATGATTAACTTAGCAACAAGGTCTTTGACGTAAGTATTGACTGATGAAAGTTAAAATCATCGAAAAGAAATCAAGATTGCTGATTTACTTTACCGATTGGTTCCAAGTGACACAAGATCTACAACTTAAGTTTCCTACCAACCTTCCACAGCATCTGATATGAAGTCCACCATATCTTTTCAATTACAAATAAACTTCAAACTTCTGTCTAATATTTCTAAGAATCTGGTATGTTTCTGGTTATAAGTATATAAGAGTGAACTCTTAGAAAACATCCTTAGACTTTATCCTTGAGGGTCACTTGGTTCCTCGAAAGCAGCAGAGAAGGGGAAAGCTGATAAAGCCGTACTGTCAGCTGAAACAACATACATAAAGTAGTGGTATATGTGTACTATGAACAGTCTTGATACCTTCTACGCCTTTCAAAAAGATTTTCAGCCAATATGAATATCAGAATTATGACCACCCGGTGTGACATGTTTGGCATGGCATGACTGAGTGCAAAAGTTTTCGTGGAACTGCAAGTTTCCTTGAATAGTCTAGGGACTACTTACCTCACTCCATAACTGAATCACATGATAAATACAGCAGAAGAAAACATTTATGAGGAAAATCCTCTTAAATATTTCATACATACCTATCAGGTGATTCCTATTGGTAGAATTCCTATAAAATCTGGGGTAAATATTCTAAAAAGTGTAATTCATGCCAAAAAAAAGAGATAAAAGAGGAAACAAATCTATAGAAACATAATTTACGCATACACTAAAAAAAGGTTTGATTCCTTTTGCCCAAGAGAAGGACACGAAACTCTCAATTTTAGGTACTTCATGTTCACGTTGAAACTGGAAGTCGAAAATGTGTTTATCAATATGCCGAAGTTTGATAATAATAAGTAGTTTGAAAAATATACCATTTAATAATCAAAGATTATTTTTTTTAGCATACTTCAACTATTCAGGTATTTCAAAGAGAAATTTCATCTTTTCCACTGTGTACATTTTATCCTTTATAAAATCATATATCATCAATAAGTAAAATGGTTGTTAAATCATAGGAGCGGTGATACTGTCTACTGAAAAGTCGATCATTATACTTTGACGAAATATTTCTCATTTTTAATATCAAAGCTACATAAGCTGCTATTAAAAGATATACAATACTTTGAACATTGAGATATCAAGTGTTATGTACAGCCAATAAAATACAGTACAGTTAGTTACTTTAAGGAAGAGAAGACAGGACTTCAGGTGAACATATAGAAGACAGAGGTGATGAAAATACTTAACAAACAACAACAACAAGCTTCAATCACCATCAACGGGAGAAACTTAAAAGAAGTAGCCTCCTTCACCTATCTAAACAGCTCTGTTTCAACTACAAGTGGCAGTACAGACGAGGATATCAAAGCCAGGCAGGATCAGAAAAGCAAGACAGGCGTTGATTAACCTGAAACCAGTGTGTAGATCTTCTGCACTCAGCATGTGGAACAACATCCGGATTTTCAGCACTAACTTCAAGTCAGTGCTTCTGTATGGCTCAGAGATGTGGCACGTTAAGAAAGGCTTTTCCAACAAACTGCAGACATTCATCAACAACTGTCTACGCTCACTCGTTACTGCAGCTCACATAGCCAGAATAATAAGAACAAGCAACAAGGAACTCTAGGAACAAACCAACGAAACAAGAACCTATCGCCCAACAAATATGCATTGGAAGGAAGTGGAAATGGATTGGGCATACAGTGAGAAGGCGGACTGGGACATCACGCACCAGTTATTCGAGTGGAACCCAGATGGGAAACGACGAGTTAGGCATCCAAGGTGACGGTGACATGGAGATGTTGTGAGGAAGAAATGAGAGTTTGTTGGCTGTTGTGGAGCCAGGTTTAAAAGATTTTAGAGAACAGAGCCGAATGGAGACGTGCTATTGAATCCCTATGTTACATTAGGAACCCAAGGGGCAAATAATAATAGTTACTTTGAAGACTGGCTGTTGAAAAAGCTGATTAATGTGATCGAATTGGTAACTGTTGTCGTTGAAAAGAGACTAAACAACTTTACTAATGGCTGAAGACCTTGCTATATTAGAATGTTATATAATTTCTTCCAAGCAATTTACTTTATGACATTTACAGTAGAGATTCTCTCAAGCCAAGCCTAAGATAATTATGTATAATCACTGTATAAAGATTTATGTGGCTTTATTATTTCTAACTTGTCTCTACTGTCGCTTATTTGAAGATGAAAAAGGCATTCATTCAGCGGAGAACATCTCAATCCAAATGAACATATTTGCAACTCATAGGCTGTAAGCGTGTCTTGCGAGTTAGTACTATTCGAAATTCTGGTCAAATATTTGATAGTCATCTTGAAAATTATTTAGAAACTACATAGTTCATGCAAATATTAGTCATAACTGAGCAGATAGGGATATATGTAAATCTGGTGTCACTCAGCTGAAAGGAAAAAGAATGATCTGTGATAAAAAAGTGTCAGGTACTAGTTTGTTAGAAAAAACATTTGGAAAGGATAATTTTTGGAAATCCTCATTTACGCAGTCAAAAATATATTCAGCTTTGAGACAAATCCACATAAATAGTGAAATATGTAGACTGATGATCAAATTTATCTTAAGCCAATCCATCGGAGCCAGACTGATACATTCAGATAATCTTCGTCCTCTCAGTGGAATGTTCAAATTTATCAAAGAAATTAATTGTATCATATGGTCTTTAAAAGTTGGCTATACCATTTTAACCTGCTCGAGTATATTGTTGATGAAATGTACACCAAACAAGCGAAGCAGCTACTTCTTGTTCACATCAATCTGACCTAGTTACCAATACCTTCAGATGTGATTGGATGATTTCCAAATACTCCTCTTCTCCACTAGTATATAGTTTGAGCTACTGTAATCATTTTGGTAAGAGTTATGAGTTACTCATTTTTCTATGATCAGTAAGTTCCCTTTTCTTCGCCAAAGCTGATAAAAAAACTTTTTTATCAAGTAAATAGAGACTGCTATCTTTTATTTAGATAATGCGATTCGATAGTTGAAGTTAGGACAAGATTTGATATGATGTTGCTTTTTGTGGTCTAATGTGATTTGTTAGTTCCCAAGTTTCTTAAGCTTCACGGTAACATGAATATTTGAAGGAACATACAGAGTTGGCAAATTCTGTGGAATGATCGTATGTCATATTATTTGACTCATGTTTATGGAATATTTGCCTAGATAATAATTTTTAAAATTATTCTGCATTGGAAAAGTTTATTTTTTCAATGAATTCTCATCAGTCTCCACAATTATTAAATGCTTTTGTGCAGTGTAAGAACAAGCAAAATTTAAGACGAATACATTTTCAATGGGAAGGTTAGGGTTAGGGTGAAGAATATGAAAATGGGAATGACCTTTAATTAGTTGACTGCAAAGGAGGAATACAATTTGAGCATATTCTGTTTGAATGCACAGTTCAGACTCGATCAATATTATTGCGACAGCCTTAGCGTTGGCACAACATTTATAACACTGAAAACTCCCTAAGCATTCGTGTAATGCCTTGTTCTTACTAGGTAAACTAAGAGAAAAATAGTCACCACTTCTAATTCATTTTTTTCAAACGAAGTCGTTAAATACCGTCGTATCCGGATAAGTACTTGCTTAATCGTATGCCCTGTGTAGCCTGTTCCACAGGAATAGTTACATTGATATACACAACATGAGAAGGTTAGATAAGGCAACCTATAGATTCGTCTCAGAATGAGTATTTATTGATTTATTAAAGTTACGGAAAAGTTATATGCATAGAATTTTCGATTGACTGCCCTAGTTGGGGGAGGTGATACGATGTCAACTGGAGCAACCTCCTGGAAATCTTACCACAGAAACCAAAGCTTCCCTGTTGTCCTCAATTCTCATTTGGGATTAATGCAGATAATGTTAGCTTTGATGTATCCTTCAGAATTTCCTTTTTCATGTAGAATATCATGGGTACATATAAATTCTTTTTACGCATTCCAAATGCTAGACACCTGATTATATTATATTTGTAACTGATCCAGAAGAAGATGGGTGTAGTGCGTTTACTATGCCTTAGTCATCAGCTTTCCATATATACTTCTCAGTATAGAACCATCTTCTCTGATCATTAACACATCAAGAGTATATATTGATCCATTAGTTTCGTTTTTAAAAACAAACTAAACTGCTAGATGAGCGCTTTTGAAGTAATTCAGAATAAGATAAACACACAGATACTTAAAAAAAACCCAGAAAATTATCATCCATATATCGACAGTACAACTACATTGCATCATTCAAAAATTGTTTCCATGAGGATAAGAAACAGATTTTTTAAAATAATTTATTTATACATATACATATATAAATATTTATTCTCAAGGGTAATTGTTAGTAGTATTCTAAAGTTCACTTTAATGTTTTCATCTCTTGAAAAAAAAATAATTTTCATTTTTCAAGTAGATTTGAAAATAAATTTGTATCTATATGTTTTACAGTTTATTTGACACATGTTTTCAAAAGATTTTTTTAGAAAAATCTAATTGAAAAAACCGCAAAGGAGAGACACATTTTGCTGTATGATCAATGAATCGTTTATTGAGTTAAT